AACTTTTTTTACTTTCTTTAAACTTTCTCTTGACTCCCGATTAAAATGCAAAAAAGAAAAATCCAATCCATCCCCTCCTTTCTCCCCCACAATTGTTAATTTTTTTTTTTTTTGAAAAAAAAGAGTCCGAAAAAAATGGAGAATTTTTCTTGAAAATTCACATTTTTCATTCATTTTTTTTCCGAAGAAAGTTTCTTGATTTCACTTTTTTTTTTTTTTTTTGGTCGGGTTTTTAACCGCCACCCAACACTATAGATTCCATTCATTGAACATTATCATCAAAAAAGAAGAAGAAAAAAAAATCATCACCATCGTGATGTTGATGATGACTGGGTGCAACAACAACAACAACAAAATACCAAAAATGGATCGCCAAACAAAAAAAATCAAAAATCAAAAAATGGATAATTGGTTTTTCTCCTTTTATCATCATCATCATCATCTAAACATCAACTACCATTATTTCACATTCATAAATGACGGATATTATCAAAGTGTTTGAACAAAACAACAAAAAAAAACAATTTATTCATATACCGACTAAAGATGTGGTTTTTTTTTGATCAAAAAATCAGGGCGTCATTTTATTTGTGAACGGGTACCCTTTCATTCATTTTTTTTTCATTCAAATTTTTGGCATCAAATTCAAACACAATGATATTGACAAGATTAAAATCTTATCCTCGATGGATCATCACCATCACCATCACCATCACCATCAACCTAGTTTCTTTAAAAAAAAAGAAAGAAAAACTTTGTCTGCCTGCGTGCGTGTGTGTTATTTNGAAAGAAGAATTGATTAACCAGTCAATCAATCAATCAATCAATCAATCAATGTGTAACTTGGATCAAAGAATCAAACAGAAAACTTAAATTGAAACAAATTAATCGTGGATTTATTTTGTTGCTGGAATGATTGAATGCAATGCAACTTGATCCAAGACTTTGTTTTCTCTGGTTTTCTACGGATATTTCACACTTTTTTGACCACTCACCCAGACACACACACACACACTGAAGAAACTGATGAAACTGACCAAAATGAAAACCAAAAAACTAGGAATGAAAACAAAATTGTTTCATTTCATTTGCAACGATTCTGATAAATGATAATGAAAATTGTTTGAACAAACAGAATCAAACAAAAACAAAAACAAAAACAAACAAAATAAAAAAAAACTAAATTTACGTTTTTTACGTTTTATTTTCAATTCCTGTATTGATAACAACAACAACAACAAACAACAATTTTGGGGATGAACGATTCTCCAGATCAGATTACGTAATGTTGGATCGAAAACACCGAAAAAAAAAACAAATATCGATTATTCAAAAGAAATCGATATTTGTTTGTTTGTGTGCGTTTGCAATACGTCAAAAGTTTTCTTTTCCCCATTTTTTTTCTAATTATTATTATTATCTCAATAATGATTTTTTATTTAACCTTTATTGAAATAATATTTATTTGTTCAATATTTTCATTTCAATTATGAAATTCAATTAAAGAAAAATTGTCCGGAACAAAAAAAACAAAACCTTCTGATTATCCTGATTATTACTGCTGTTTGTCTGTAACTGTAATTGTAAATAAATGAAAAAAAAAAATATGATTAATAAAAGTAATAATAATAATTTTGTTTTTGCTTCTGTTTGATTTTCGGTGTTCAATAATCATTCGTTTCGTTTGGTTTAGTTTGTTTTGGTTTGGTTTGATTGGTTGTCAGTCATCGGGTTTGGTTGATTGTCAGTCATTTCATCATCTGTCAATTCAATTCATCATTCTGAAAATGTACCGTTTTTTTCTGTTTGTCTGTTGTCCATGACGATCCAGTTGTTTTGTTTCTATGGACAGAGTTTTTTTGTCCAGAAAGAAAGAAAACAACAAAATTGTTCAATTAAGAATTTTTTTTTTTGTTTGTTTGTTTGGAAATTAAACAAATAATAATGAAAAACGAATTTTCAGGTCAATTTTTTTTTGGGGAGAGAGATTCTGCTATTTATTTTTTGTTTTGTTTGATTGCATTTTTAAAAAAAATAAACTATCCAATCTTTTAACGTTAATTGACGTTACTACTACTAACTTAATCGTTTTTTGAACCATGAAAAAAAGAACCGAACCGAACTAAAAATCGCTAATCGCTTCAATTTATTCGCCTGGTAATCCATACAAATTTTCCAATGGAAAAATCTGGAAAAGGGAAAAAATTTGACAAAAAAAAATGTTTTCAAACAAGAAAAACAAAACAAAACAAAAAATCTTTTTTTATTAATAGCATTTCAAGAAGAAAATTTTAAAATTTTCAAAATTTTTCAATTCAATTTTTTACAATTATTATTGATTGCTGTTGTTGATGTTGAATTTTGAACTTGTTGTTGTTGTTGTTGCTGTTGCGATGACGATAACGAGGATGATGATAATGATTGATGCGGTTGTTGACGACGTTGTTGGTATGGTTTCCATAATTGATACAATTTATATGAATAATATAATTGAAAAATATGTACCTGTATTGCAATAATAGCAAATGCTTCAAATATAATCGATATTGGTAAATTATTCCAAACAAATTTTAAATTTGTTATATTACGTTCATTAATAAATTGATAAAAATCCCAAAAATAAATATACTGTGCCCAAATGATTGGTATGAATGCAAATAATAATATACCGGTTAAATATAATTTTATCATTGTAAATGAATTTTTTCTAATAGCACGTATACCAAATATTGTAAATAAATATGATATACCATATAACCATTCCCATATATTTGGTTTTGGTATTTCTAATTCTTGTAATTCCAATATAAATATATCCATACGATCAAGTATATCTTCACTTAATTTTAATATTATTAATATATAAAGTAAAAAATGTAGATAAAATGTAACTTTTAAATAATGTTTCGATATGGCGCTAAATAACGTGGATTATAAAAGAGAGATAAAAGAAAAAATCAATGTTTTGTTTCAAAACAAAAACAAAAATTTTACCTGTATGAATGAGCTGATACAACACGTTGTCGATGAGTAAAATCGGTACCATCCGTACCAAGAACATATTTACCTTTGGAAGCCATTGTTTTTTGGTTTGATTGATTGGAATTAAACTACGATGAATTTCTACAAACAGAAAAAAACAAGAATTTAAAATGAAAAACAAAAAGTCAAAAATAGAAAGAAAGATCAGCAAATCAATCGATCAATCGATTGTTGATTTTCATTCAATCGAATTGAATCAAAAAGCCGAATCAAATCAAAAACTTATTTTTTTCTTTTTGTTTTGTTTGATTCGGTCATGATCACAACATTTAAAATAAAATAAAAGTCTCGGTCGATGTAAAAAAACAAAACGAGCAACAAATAACAAACAAACATTTCTTCTAAAGTATGGTAGAAAGAGAAATTCTTTTGCGATCGTTTTTTGTATGAAAAAAAAAATCTAAATTTAGATCACTAATTCTTCTTTAAATGAAGATGATGCCAACATTGTGAATATCATCATATCACCATAATCAACAACAATAACGTCTACCAAGATCCTCATATATTTTTTCCCCGAAAATGAAGAATTTTTTCTGTTTTTTTATAGTAAAGGATAAAAACAAAACAAATGAAAAAAATTTAATGAAAAAAAAAATTACCTAATTGTTTTCGATCGAAACAAACCAAACAAACGAAAATGTTTTTGAAAAATTTTTACGAAAAAAAAGAAACACATGTGGATAACGATCGCTGCTGAGTTGTTGATGTTTTCGTGTCTCCTTTTTCTCTCTCACTTTACTGTACTCAGGTTTCCCGTTCATAAATACCAGTACAAAAATTTTTGAAAAATTTTTAAAAAAGTCAAAAAAAAGTTTTTTATTCAAATAAAATTAAAATTTTAATTAATTAATTAATAATAAAAAAAATGTAAAAAAAATGTAAAAAATTATTATTATTATTATTATTTAATGAAGAAGAAATCCAAACATCAACAGATGATAGTGAAATGCAAGCAAACAGAAATAGAAAGTAGAAAAAAAAACCAAACAAAAATGAAAAAAGAAAAGAAGAAAAAACATTGAGAAAAAATTATCAATTTTTTTTGTTGTTAATGATGACAGTTGATTTTTGAAACATAAAAAGGATCTGTTGATTGATTGATCGATTGATTGATTGATTGATCGATTGATTGATCGATTGATTGATTGATTGAGTGGAAGGAGGGTGGATGAATGGATTGATTGATGGATCATTTTGGTCATTTGTGGATTGTTGTTAGATTTATCGTATAAATGTAATTGGCATAAATGATGATGTATCTTTGGTCATTATAAAATGTTGTTGTTGTTGTTGTTGTTGTTGTGGCACATGATGTTTTAATACAATGACCGGTTGTTGATTTGATTCGGCAGCAGTAATAATGGTAGCATCTTTATCAGAATCAGCAGCAGCAGCAATAATCGATGTTTTTTGACTTTTTATCATTGATAATGGCTGTTGTTGTTGTGGTTGTTGATGATTATGATTATGATTAATACCTAAATTTAAACCAGATGCATAAACATCACGATTTAATGGATAAAATCTTGGTGATTCATCACATTTAACATTATACCACCAATCACAGATTAAATATTCTTGTGAAAATATTGTACCATTTGGACATAAAAATGAATGTTTACCGCCAATTGATTCGGCTGTTTTTCTTGATTGATTTTTCGTTGTCATCGTTGATGATGATGATGGCATTAATTTAGTTGATCGTAATTTTGATTCAGACATTAAAATCGATGTTGATGATTTTGATGATGCTGCAACATCACGATCACCATTTAATAATTCTCTTTCATTAAATAATGTTTGTCTTTTCCGAATAATACTTGTCAAACTACAACTATGATAAACTTGACAACCAGTTTCCATATCAGAATAAAAACCAGGATATTGTTGTTTTGAACATTCAAAATCAGTATCAGGTATATGACCAAATATTGGATAATCAACACCAGGTATACCAGGTACATTTGCTTCACCAATTTCATCATCATCATCATCATCGCCATCATCATAATCATCCCCATTATCATCGTTATCCTCATCATTATTCTTATTATTATTGAAAGTTAATTTAATTAATTTTTCATTCTTTTTCATTGATGCGGATGATGCGGATGGATTTTTTGGATTTTTCAATGTTTCAACCAATTCATATTTAGCTATATTTGTTTGTTTATCATTTAAAAATGTTGTTGCTGTTGTTGATTTTGATTCATTTTCCCTTTTTTCCTTATTACCTGTAACATTTATTTTATCATCCCCATCATTCTTATTATCATTACCATCATTATCATCGATAGTATCGATCATCAATCGATCCGGCATAATAACATTAGCAAAACCAAAATTATTTGGTATTTTTGGCATACCTGGTGGACGTCTTATTATAATCTGATCATTATCATTATCATTATTTTGATTTTGTTGATTACTATCATCATATGGATTTTCATTAATTTCAATTTCAGATAATGATGTTTGTCGTTTATTCCATGGATTTATCAATGGTTTTAATAATAATTGTGGCTGCTGTTGTCTTTCAATACGATTAATTTTTTCCAATAATGTTGTTGGTCTACGAGTAGTAGTAGTAGTCGATGTAGTTGTTGTTGTTGTCGAAATAGGTAAATCCATTTTCTGTATTGTTGTATGTTTTCTTGATTCAATTACATCGGGCATTGTAAAATCCATTTTCATTATTGGATTACTTGTTGTTGTTGATGTTGTCGATGTTGTTGTCGATGTTGTCGATGTTATCGGTGATGATACAACTTTTTTCTTCAATATAAAACGTTGTGATTTTATGGTTGGTAAACCAAATCGATTACGCTCAACATTATTGATTGTATTTAATGATTTTAAACCATTATTCGATGATTGACGTGATTTTGTTCGTAACGATGCGGATGATGCAGATGATGTTGTCTTTTTTATTGATTTTGTTTGTCCACGTTTTTGATTTGATGTTGATGATGATGATGTCGATGATTTTGAATTACCGGATACTGTTGCTGATCTAATTATTTTTGAATTTTGTGGATGTTTTGTTGTTGTTGTTATCCTTATTGTTGATGTTGGCTGTACAGTTGTTGTTGTTGTTGTTATTGGTGCTGGTGTTGTTGTTGACGTTGACGTTGTTGTTGTCGTTTCCATTTCTTCTGAATCATTTGAATCGTTTGTTGTTGTTGTTGGAACCGGTGTTGTTGTTGTTGTTGATACTATATTTTCTTCATCATCTTCATCCAGATCTATAGCCGATGTTGCTGTTTGTTCAATTTCATGTTCATCATTATCAATTTCTCTTTCTATTTTTGGTTTAATTGTTGTTGTTGTTGGTTTTCGTTGACCAAAAATGGTTGTTGGTGATGATTCTGTTGTTGTTGTTGTTGTTATTGATGGATCAATTGTTGTTGTTGTTGTTAGGGGTTGTTCACCTGTAACTGACATTGATTGTTCATCATCATTATTATTCATTAACATTTTACGTTGATTATGTTGATGATGAAAAAATGTTCTTGGTGTTGTTGTTGTAAGTAAATCTTCTATATTACTATCATCATCATCATCATCTTGATTATGATTATCATTAAAATGATTTAAATGTTTAACAACATTTCTTCTGTTTAATTCATTTGGTCTATTATGATTAACAATAATTTCTTTTGTTATTCTAATTGGTTCTTCACGTTCTAATTCGGTATTTGAATCATTATCATCATTATCATTACATTCTTCAAGATCTTTCCCGGTTGGTATTGTTGTTGTTAAATCAATCATTTCATCATCAACATTATTTGGTGATATTGTTGTTGTTGATAATATTTCTTCCGGTTCATCATAAATAACAGTACTGACCATATTTGGATTTGGTGTTGTTGTTGTTGTTGAGGATTTTTCTTCTTCTTCATCATCATCTTTGTTCATTTCATTACTTTCATTTGAATCCAATGTTGTTGTTGTTGTTTCAGGCAACATTGTTGTTGTTGTTGTTGTTGTTGGCGGTATTATTGTTGTTGTTGTTGTTGATTCATTTCGATTTACCAATTTACGCATACGATTTTCAATTGCTTGATTCAATTCTTTAACCAATGAATTTAAAACTACTGTTGTTGTTGTTGTTGATGAACGTTTTGATTGATTATTTTCATCCATTCTTGGTAATGATGATGATGGTTCATCATGATTATCAGTTTCATCATTATTCATTATTATTGATATTGATGGTTGTTTAACTTTACGTTTTAATGTAAAACTTTCAATATGATGATGATTATGATTTTTATCATCATCCGTATCGATTGAATATAATGTTTTTGTACGTTTTAAATCAATATTCTGTTCATCCAAATTATCAATATTTATATTTTTATTATTATTTAATGATTGTGTACGTAATTGTGTTCTACTTGTTTGTTGTTTTTTCGTTGTTGTTGTTTTCGGTAATCCAAATGTTTCACGATGATTCAATGTAATTATCATTGGTAATGAATCATTTTGATGTTTATTATTAGTATCCAAATGTTGTTCATCAATCATAATTGGTGTAGCCGATGTTGTTATTGTTAATTCTTCATCTGATAAATTATTATGTGGTGTTGTCGATGTTGTTGTTGTTGTTAATTGATTATCCACTCCATCATCATCATCATCATGATTATGATTTGTCATCGATGTTGTTGTTGTTGTTGTCATTGTTTTAATTAAATCAATATTAACAATATTTGGTTTTGGTCTTGTTACCTGTATTCTTGCTTTCAATGATGATTGATGATGATTTTGTTGTTGTTGTTGATTAATTGCACGTTTTGGTAAATTAAATTTATTTGTAAAACTACTGCTGCCATCTTGTTGTGTTCGTTCAATATTATTATCTGAATTTTCTGTCAAAGTATTATTATTATTATTATTGTCAACAATATTATCATCAGGATTTTTCTTATCATTTTGATCATCATCTGTCGAAGGTAAATTAAAATGATTAATCATTGTAGATGTTGTGGAAGGCATTGTTGTTGTTGTTGTTGATGATATAGGCGTTGTTGAACGTGTTGTAACAGTTTTATCATCATCATCATTAACGAATAAATTTTCCGAATGATTTTGATTTTGATTATTATTATTATTATTTGTTGATGATAAAAGTTCATAATGAAAATGTCTACCAATATCAGCCGATAATTGATTAATATCTGATGTTGTTGAAATAGTTGCAGGTTGATATCGTCTTAATGGCTGTTGTTGTTGTGTCGGTGATGATGATGATGATAAATCCTGTACAGGATAATAATGTGAATAAGGTTGTTGTGGTTGTTGATAATGATGATGATGATAATGATTAGATGGATGATAAGAAGCTGTTATATCATTTGGTGTATGAAATAATGGCGGAAATCCATGATCTTGACTAATAACAATAACACCTGTTGCTAATGATCGATCATTTAGTCGATGTGCAGGTAATGGTATTACAATGTTCTACAACAGCAAGCAAAAAAAAACAAACAAAAAAAAACCCATTAATCAGATCAACAAAATCAAGTGAAAAAACAAAATAAATCTACCTGAATTGTATGATTATTATTAAATTTATAATACATTGGATGTACATTATCATCATTACCATTATGTAATGATTTTGTTGTTTTATCATCATTCATCATTGCTGCTGTTGCTGCTGCTGTTGTTGATGTTGTATAAACATTACCATTATTATCAATATTATTATTATTATTATTATTAATTCGTCTTGATATTCTTTTATTATTATCAATAGTATCGATAGTATCGATTGTATCATCAGAATTATCAATAATTAGATGGGTATTGTTGTTGTTGTTTCGTAATGCCGTGGCTGAATGATCAACATTAATGCCCGGTGATTGTCTTCGTTGTTGTTGTTGTTGTGGATGATTATTATTATTATTATGTGATGATAATGATGGATTTTCAACTATTTCTACATCTTGATCATCATCATCATCATGAATACTATCATTATCATCATCATTAGGTGTACCAATTTCAACAATTTCATCAACTGTAACTGTTGATGGTTGTTGAATATTTGTGGCAGTTTCTGATGATGATTGTTGTGCGGATGATAAAGGATGATGATTATATCGATGATGTGTACGATATGTTAATACTGATCCAGGATTTTTATTAAAACTACTACTACCACCACTATTACCAACATTATTATCATTAATATTACCATTATCATTAATACTACGTGTAACAATTGTACCACGTGTATTTAATTCGGTTGATCCGGTTGTTGTTGTTCTTGGATTAGTCGAAATAGTCGGTAATACTGTTGTCATTGTTTTTTTTATTATATTTGGTGTTGTTGGTTCATGTTTAAATTCAAATTGAAATTTATGTACAACATTTGTTGATTCGGCAGCCATTAATGATTGTTGTTGTTGTTGTTGTTGTTGTGATGATGGTATTTGATTATTGGCTTCAGATGTTGTCGTTGTCGATGATAATGTTGATGCAGATGCCAAATTATTATTATCATAATTATCATCAATATCAGCAATTGTACCACGACGAAATTTTAATCCATTTGATCCAATCGAATATTGATGATGATAAACACCCGGTCGTTGATGATGATTTTGATGATTTTGATTCAATATTGGTGATTGTAATTGTGATGATGATGATGGATATCGATTTGCATCTGATAACAGTCAACAAAACAATAAAAATGGAACGAAATTTGAGTTAGTTTTTACAAGAAAAAAAAAGTTTTAATTTTACAAATTTACAATTTGAAATTATGATTTTCTTCCCTAGTTTTCAAGGAAAACAAGTCGGAAAATCGATAATTTTAAATTTCGACAAAATGAATTGTTTGTTGTCGTTTGTTTGATTATTAAAAATTTTGATTCAAAAATTTACCAGAAAAAAAACAAATCAAAAATCAACTTACCAACAAACGATGATGATTGTGTTGAAATAGTGGTAGCCAATATGAAAAAAATAATAACTAGATTTATGAAAATCATTTTGAATGAATAACGAAGATGATGATTATGGTGATTTTGATTTTGATGATGAGGATGAGGATGGTAAATTGATGCCAATGAAGATGAAGATGTTATTCGTAAAGATTTCACAGATGATGATGATGATGATGATGATGATTGAAATCTGGACAACATATTATCAAATAATGGCCAATTTTTTAACATTTTTAACAATTTTAACATTTTCTTTATCGGTTTTATTAACAGAAAATATTCAGTGAAAGGGTTAAAAGACAACAGAAAAAACAACAAAAACAACAAAATTAATCAAATGAATTTTGGCTTTATCAAATTGTCTGATGTTTTGTGTGATCAAGATGATGTCGATGGTGGTGGTAAAGTTGCTGATGATGATGATGATATGATCATCGAAACAATCAAAAACAAAAACATTATTGATCCATTATCGATCAAATTAATTTGCAAAAAAATACTAGTAATAATTAAATAGTCATTATTGATTTGGATCACTTTACCAAAATCAATCAATCAATCAAACATTATGAACATTTTGAAAATTGAATTTTTTTGGATAAACAAAAAAACATCTTTTGGGGTCTGTTTTGGTTGCTGTTGTTTAAAACATTCAAAAGAAAACACTTGTTTCAACAATCCAAAATCAATCAATCGATTTCGAGAAAAAAACAAAATAAAAAACACAAGTTGTTGTCGATGATAAAATTCCCGCAAAATGATTCACAATGACCATTGGTCATTGTCTTTTTATAACTGTCTTGTAAAGAAGAAGAAAGACAGAAGAAAAAAAAGGCAGGCAATGTTTTGGCCAAAAAAAATTTCAAATTTCAAAATGATAATGATGATGATGATGATAGAGAGCAAACACAGACACAGGATAAAGATGATGTTCAACAGACCAAACAGAAGATATTATTTTTTTTCTTCAATCCCCTATCATCATCTTTGATTAGTCTTGGATCATCATCATCAGTGGTGCTGCCCGCGAAGAAAATCCGTCAAAGAGAATCTGTTTTGGAACAGCAGCAGTGTGTTTGGTGAAAAGAGAAGTTTTTTTTTACGAAAATTCCCAAAACTTTTTTTACTTTCTTTAAACTTTCTCTTGACTCCCGATTAAAATGCAAAAAAAAGAAAAATCCAATCCATCCCCTCCTTTCTCCCCCCACAATTGTTAATTTTTTTTTTAAAAAAAAGAGTCCGAAAAAAATGGAGAATTTTTCTTGAAAATTTATTTATTTTTTCCGAAGAAAGTTTCTTGATTTCACTTTTTTTTCTGGTCGGGTTTTTAACCACCACCAAACACTATAGATTCCATTCATTGAACATCATCGTGATGATTTTGATGATAACTGGGTGCAACAACAACAACAACAAAAATACCAAAAATGGATCGCCAAACAACAAAAAAATCAAAAATCAAAAAAATGGATAATTGGTTTTTCTTCTTTTATCATCATCATCATCTAAACATCAACTACCATTATTTCACATTCATAAATGACAGATATTATCAAAGTGTTTGAACAAAACAACAAAAAAAAAAACAATTTATTCATATACCGACTAAAGATGATGTGGTTCTTTTTTTGATCAAAAAAAAAAAAAAAAATCAGGGCGTCATTTTATTTGTGAACGGGTACCCTTTCATTCATTCAAATTTCGCATCAAATTCAAACACAATGATATTGACAAGATTAAAATCTTATCCTCGATGGATCATCACCATCACCATCACCATCAACCTAGTTTCTTTAAAAAAAAGAAAAACTTTGTCTGCCTGCGTGCGTGTGTGTTATTTTGAAGGGAAAAATGTATAGTAGATATGGGAGATTCGTTTTGTTTACCGCGGTTGTTGTTGAAGAAGAAAACATCTTTTTTTTCAAAGGGAAAAAAATGTTTTGAAATTTTTGAATTTTCGAAAATGCCAAAAATACTTGTCATGAAAAAAAATGATGAAAAAAATTGTCAACAACAACGAAACAACGAGACAGGACAATGTATTCGTTATGTAATATTTGGTCATTCATAGACGACATTATCGTTTTTTTTTCTTCGTTTTTTTTCGATCAACAAATGACATTTGTTATGGTCAACAGAAGCAAAAAAAAAAAAAATGGACATTGAATTAAGATTAACAAAGAAAATCTCTCTCTCTCTCTCTCTCTCTCTCTCTCTCTCTCTCTCTTGTTCTGTTTATCGATCTACAATCAATCAATAAATTCAGGACAATCTTTTCACCTTTTACCTTGTTTTGTTTACCTTGTTACAATCGATGATTTAAAAAGAAATGAAAAGAATTTCAATGAATTTTAAATCAATTAAAAATCAAGTGTTAAAAATCGATCAATCGATCGATTTTGATCGACATAAATCTTTAGTGTTACATTTTGGCCACATTCATTCAATGTAATTAATTATTATTAAATCAAGTTGAACAATTCAGGTGATGTTGTTCAGGTGATGATGATACGATTAGTGATCATCATCATCACTGATCGGATTTCAGTTCATTTTCATTTTCATTTCCATTCATTCTTTCATTATGTTTGAATAAATGATATTAAAAAAAAGTGTGACAAAACTAAATCATGTCAAACCTGTTGTCAGTTAACAATTGAAAATTTCCAAAAGATTTAAAATAATTTTGAATAATTGATTTCAATTCATTCATTCAGTAAGTCAATCGAATTGTCATTTGATTAAATTGATTTTTCGACTTTCGATTTTTTCGCTGTTGTTGTTGTTGTTGTTCAATAAAATAATCCTCATTTCATCTTTGGTGTTAATTCATTCATTCATTCATTCATTCATTTGGTTGATCATTTGATTGATTGAAAATAACAGAAATGATAATCACATTTTCAAGTGTGTGTGTTTTAAAGATTTAAGAAAGCAAGAAATATTGCGGAAATTTTCACTTTGCAGACAATGAAAAAAGGAGAGAAACTTTCAGATAAATTTTTTTGTGAAGGGTCATTCACAAAATCAATGTAAAGATTATTATAATCCATTTTTTTTATTGTGAAAAAAATTTTTTAATCCAAAAACATTTTCAACAACAACAACAACAGAAAAAGATTAAACTTACCAAAATCCAAAATGTAAATTCAAAAACGAAAACAAAACGAAAAAAAGGTCGAATTTGATCAAGTTCAAACAGCAAACAACAACAACAACGACAAAACAATGGTTAATTAAATACAAATGACAAATGATTATGATGATGATAATCAATTTGGTCAATTGAATTTTGAATAGGCCAGATGAAAGATTCCCTCAAAAAAAAAAAATGATGAAAATTCATTAGTTAAGCTTATTTTTCGTTTTTTTTGTTTTTGATGAATTCATCCGAAGAAATTATAAAATCGTAACCTCATAACGATAAAGTGATAATGATTGAATTGAATGCAGAAAAAAAAATGAATAATCATCATCATTGAGAGAGAGAGAGAGAGAGAGAGAGAGAGAGAGAGAGAGAGAAAGTTGAATAATTTTTTTTTTTTTAACATTTTGGACAATGTCAATGTCGAGGCCATAGGACAACAAAAGAATAATTAACGAACAGTGAGTGAGAGAGGGAGAGAGAGAGAAGAAAACGTTTTTTCTCTAATTGAATTAATCAATCAATTTTGAAATGATGATAATAATTAACTTTTAAACAACAACAACAACAACAACAACAAAAGTAACGGATGGAAAATTGATTGATAAACTTTAAAAAAAAAACAAAAAATCTTTTTTGAACAAAATGAACCCAAATAGATAGACAAAACTTCTTGTTGTTTATCATTTTCTTCCCGAAACTTTGATGGTCAAACAAAACAAACAAAACAGCAAAAAAGTTCAACAAAATTATTGATGATGATGATGAAACGATATTTGGTCATCATGATGATCATCGTGATGATCATTATCCATCCATAATCAGAATGATAATTTGTTTGTTGTTGTTTTTCTGAATATTTTCTTGTTTTTCTTGTATTGAAAAAGGAAATTTTTGAAGAAGAAAAAAAATTGATTTTCTTGGGAATCCGTATCGATTTACACAAATCAATCATTCAAGTATTTTTGAATGGATCTTTTATTTTTTCCACTTTAAAAATCGACAATTATAACACACACACTGGGGTTGAATCGGGTTTTAATGATGATCAATGATCAATCAATCAATCAATCAATCAATCGATCAATCCATTTTGGATCACGGTAGAATCATCGTCGCACTATATAAAGCGTGTGTGTTTTGTACCATTGATAATGATAATGAATTTCACAAATATCGAGGCCATTTGTTGTTCAATCAAAATTGATCTTGTTGAATATCGATATCCGAAAAGAAAAAAAAATGGCAATATTAAAAAAAACATGAACATAATGCCTATTATGGTCGATATGTCATCATTATTATTATCATCATCATTTTTTTTGATCATGATCTCTAATAAAGGTCAAAGGATTTTGTTTGTTTTCGTTTTCATTTTTTCATTTTTTCATTTTCCAACAACAAACAAACAAAATTCATCATCATTATCTTTTGATATAAAAATCATTATCAATGTCGAACAATTTCCGATCAAGAAAAGAAAAGAGACGAAAATTGTCATTCAAAAAAACTTTGACAATAATGATGATGGCGCCATTCCATTCATGTTGTTGTTGTTGTTGTTGTTCCAGGACACTTAGATCTGGAACAACAACAACAACGACAACGACAACAACAATTTTTTTCCCTATAAGAATCATCAACTTGTTATTGAGAATTTCAAGAAAAAATCAAAAAAGATCAAAAAAATCAAGTTCGTCATATTTGAAGAAAATTTTTCCAAACAATCAATTTCCGTTTTTGAGTAACTGAAAGTAAGTAAACGAAAAAATCCATTAACCACAAGTTACTGTTACTTGCTTACTACTTTACTTATAGCAGCTTGATAATGATAATGGATTTGTTTGTTTGTTTGTTAGTTACCGATTTCGATTTATGTTTGTTTTTGTTCATGTTTGTGTGTGCCATTGATAATGATCATCCTGATTATCAGCAGCCTGATGATGACCATATTTATCTGAAGATAACGAAAACAGAAACGGAGAAAAAATGTTTGTTTGTTTTTTCGGGTATTTTGCGGTTTTTCTCTTGATTTTTCTATTTTTTTTCCGGCTTTCTTATCAAACAAACGAACACAGGAGATCTTTATCAGCATCAGCATCGTTTTTTTTTTTCTCACATTAATTTAATAATTAATGTCTTTTGAGGGGGAAGAAATGGGGGAGAAAGGAAAAAAGGGGGATAAAAGATGATGATGAGACCCATTACCTGTTGTTGTTGTTGTTGTTAAATGATGTTTTATAAAAATGATTACCGGTTTGGTTTTCTCTTCAATTATGATGATGATGATGATTATGATTATCTCATCATTTAAATAAGTTTTGTTTGTTTGTTTGTTTGTTTGTTGTTTAATTGTTGTCCTAATCAACATGATGATTATGATGTTCCAGGAACAAATGTAGTTTTTTTTTCTACGAATTTTAAAAACTTTAAAAAAATTTTTAAAATGAATTTAACATGAAACAATTACAAAGTAAAAGTTTTTTTTCTGCAAAGTAGAAAAAAGCAGAAACTTTTCAGAGAAATTCATTGATTGATTGATTAATTAATTGAATGATTTTTGAGAAAACCGCATCATCTTCATCATCATTAAGATAATGTTTCTTTTTGAACACAATGTACATATTTGGGGAACAT